TGAGTCTTGTGAAGGTTTAGAATGTGTATTGCATTGCAAAAATTAGGCCAAACACACCAAGCAAGGTGTGTGCGGCCGCACACTCGAGTGTGCGGCCAGCCAACGGCACACAATCGACCGCACACCCCCTAGCCTCACACTCCAGCCTATATAAAGGACCCTAAGTCAACCTTACACCCCTTTCCTCACTCCTTCAAGGCTGGAACATTCTCTCTCAAGAATCCTTCGAGTTTTCCTCCCCAATCGGCAATACAAGTAAAACATCCTTAGCTCATTACTACAACACATTAGAAAGCCTTTTCCTTGAGTTTGATCCATGAAATCATCGTTCTAGATGATCTTCATGTGTGTACGGTTGCACACACATCATGTGTGACCGTACATACATCTTTTAGTCCTAAAATGGACTTAAACACTCATCTAAGCATAGCATCGACCAAAACACCTTCTTAGGATCATCACAATGCCTTGGAAAATCGATTTGGACACGTTTGTATGGGAGTGTACAGCCGCACACACACCAATATGGTGTATTTTTACCATACACTCCCTTGTAAAGCCATACACCCCTTATATACAATCATATATGATTGTAACACTTCAATATAAATGTATACCAGTCCCTAAGGTGGTCCCAATTCAATAATTAGTTGCTACAAACACTAATTGTATACATACATATGTCATTATCTGGTTAATAGGATTCGTTTGTGCTCAAGTCCACAATTGTCACTCAACCCCCTAAACCGATCCTACCGTCGCATCACTCACTACAGGTGCGTTCATACCCTTTAATAAACTTTTGAAATGCTTTTAAATGTTTTTAAATGCTTTATTGGGGGGGGGGGGTACAAGTTGAACTATGTTAGTTATTAGATCAATCACATGTGATTAATAACTAACATACAAATGGATTTTCATACTTTAAACTGTTTTACCAAACAAATGACTTCCAACTGTTTATCAAACTATTTTTACATATCAAACTCTTTGTCAAATTCACTTTTGTATACTAAATCTTTCTTGTATAGTTTTCAAACTTATATATTGTTAAAACCATGTCTATTACATATATAGTTATATGAATAAGGTTTGAAGGGCTTAGGAGAGATAACCCACTTTACTTCCTGTCCTTGTTTGGTTATGGTCTTAAAGTACCCGGTTGTTTGTCTGAGGGTCGTTGAATCCTTAGTTATATATTATGTATATATGTATTGATATAAAGACTTTTATTTCAGTTCAGTACATTCAATCATACAAACAAGTTTACTAATAAACTATAATAGGTATAATTTAGAGTTATACTACTTACTACTTCTAGTTCAATGAAGCATACAAGAGTTACTTCATTCATGAGTCATTACTTATTACGATGAGAACATATACATCCATACTATGATGAAAACATATACAACTATATTAGGATGAGAACATATACGATTATACTAGGATGAGAACATATACAACTATACTATGATAAGAACATATACAACTATACTATGATGAAAACATATACAACTATACTAGAATGAGAACATATACAACGATACTATAAGGAGTAACCATACATTACATATACAAGTATACGATAACATAAATGTGATCCACTGTATCGGAGCATGCCTTCATTGTCATGGCCTGAGTTGTAACTAGAATCTCCTGGAGGGAGAGCGTGAGTTTACGTATAGATCTATACTGGATTGACTATCCTACACCTTGCGGCTAGCTACAACCGGACCTGTAGGTCTGCGGGTGCCAAACGCCATACCTTTTAACGACTTACATTGTCATGTTTTTCCATCGATAGTATGGTACAATTAATCACATAATACCTTGATATAAATCCAATTTAAGGTAGTTAGTACAACAGCAGTTCTTATAATACGAAACTACATTACTACATTAATTTACCCTTTACATTTATTGTGGTGATTACTTCACTTAAATATTAATGTACAAACTATATTTTGATAATGATAGTTATACTTGCGAAAATTACACACTTTTACAAGAAACAAACATACCAAAACAGTTGTGCCTTGGTAGAAGGCTACTTTTAGTAGAAAATATAGGATTTTCTAGGAGTTACAAACATTCACATACTTTTACTACAAGCGTTTACAAACTCGTACTTCAAACAACGTTTCAAACATTTTGATACAAATATAGACACTACATACTTATGAACTCACCAACTTTAATGCTGATAAACGCTTTCAAAATAACTTATATTCTCAGGTCATCAGTAGACAGGTATCGATGCCAGCTTTTGAGAAGATGGAGCGCATACAAGACTCATCTTATATTTTGATTCATATTTTGGTGTCTTATATACTACGGAACACACTTGTATTATAATTATATATTAAGTGCAATGGATGATGTTGTTTACTTGTTTACTATTATACTGTGTTGTGATATTTTACATGACGTCCTCCGCCCCAAAATGTTTCCGCCGTTCTAGGTTTTGGGGTGTGACTATATATATATATATATATATATATATATATATATATATATATATATATATATATATATATATATATATATATATATATAGACACACACACGTTTCAAAATAGGGGAAACAAATTTATTGGAAAAATCAAACTGCACCAGTACCAGTATCGAATCAGATGTAGTGGTATCGACTTAGAATCGAGTATATGTAATGGTTTACTTTTTGGTTTTCTATTTTACAAGTTTTTAGTTTTGTACCAATTCGGTTCGGATCGGTTCCAAATAGGGGTGAGCTAATGGAATTTATAAGAGCTATATAAAATATTTCACAAAACAAAACATATTTATTAATTAAAAAGTAAAGTTTAAAATTGATCAATATTTAATTAATATTTAAGAAATTTTCGATATGTTAAAAATAATGTTTGAAAAAAATAATACAAACAAATATGAAAAATAAAATCAATATTAAAAATAGGAAAAATGATTTATTAGAGTAATTAACTTTTCATTTTGTTCATATTTAGGCAACTTTCGTTTTTTATACATATTTAACCATTTAACTTGTTAATTTCTACACATATTATTATTGTCATCTATTATAGCCGGTAACAATGACAATATATGAACATATATAATAAATTAAATGGTTAAATGTGTATAAAAATAAAAAAATTTATCTAAAAGTAATCAAAGTGATAAAAAAATAATTATTCTGGTAAGTTATTTTATCATGGAAAAATCGAACCAAACCAAACTGATACCAAGTAGACAAAACATATCGATTTTCCGTTTTCCGTTTTACAAGTATTCGATTCAGTTTGGGAACTACACGCACCCCCTATTTAAAAGTGTTTTTTTGGAAACGAATGATTAAAATTAAAATTAAATGCTTAAATAATTATTTGGTCAAAATTATATATAATTAAAAAGAAAAAGATAAATTTGACTAGTTTTCATAAGTTTTTCAAGTTTTATGAAAATAACCACTAATTTCCTAAGTTGCACATGGGAAATTACCGCTGAACCTGAGAAATTCCTAAACATTGTCTTTTTGGAAAATAACTTATTAAAAAAATCTTTGATTTGAACTATCAAAATGCCAAAAAAAAATATTTTTTTCCATGCAGGTTTAACTTGCGTTTTCATATGTTTGACATGTGTTGTTGCAAGTTTGATCTACAGAAATGCAAAATAATAATAATAATAATAATAATAATAATAATAATAATAATAATAATAATAATAATAATAATTTGGCACTTTAACCTGCAAAAATCATGGATTTTTTTAATCAAAAAAATTTATTTTTTGAAGTTTTCGTAGTAGAATCTTAAATGGTTGATTTTTCCATATATATATATATATATATATATATATATATATATATATATATATATATATATATATATATATATATATATATATATATATATATATATATATATATAATGTAAAATTGAAATAAAATAATATGGTTTATATATGGGGCAACAGTACTGACTATTAAGACAATTTCGCAGTCCATTAGTCTTTCACAGCCCATTTGCTCAATTCTGATGATAATATGATATTAGTGCCTATTTATTATAAAACTCAAATTTTTGTTTAAATTTTGGAAAACTTAAATAGATTAGCTAGATTTGTTTTTTTGTTTATCATCATTAAATAATAATTAGGTTAAGGTACAAGAATGTTCTTTGTGCTTTACCTATAGTCGAAGTCGAAAGTTTAATCTAATTGTAAAATCGTGCCATTATCTTCATATGTTTGTATTTAGTTTTCATGGTCCATACACGTAAAATGACTTTCAAACTTAGACTATACTTAGAATTTTAAGTAAAAATATACAACAAAACGCAAACTTCAATTTCAAAATTTAGACTCGATTTGTGATTTTATGTAAGGTTGCATGGTCTAGCATATTTTTTGCAGCGGATAATATGATGTGGCATGTGATGTCGGAGGTGAATGCCATTAACTCATCAGCAATAAATAATACCCAATAAGGATGGGATTTAAAACCCTTCTTTTTATTGGAAGACATTAATAATACCACATCCTACTAACATCCTACTAATAGACAAATATTTAACACCTTTCTTTATCTGAAAAGATTATTATGAATTCCATATAATGATAATAACGTGGACTTCAATTAGAAAATATATTTAGTATATTTTTTTTAAGGATATCAAAAATTAATAGATAAATGGCCATCAGTTAAAAAAACAAAAATTCAAATCCAGACAAACCATATAAATTTAAAAATAGTGTAATGGGTGTGTAATACGTCCTAAAAATACTCAATAAAATAATCGAACAATTTGATAACCTATACGTCAAATAATATATTTATTTATTAGGAGTATATTTAAACGTGAACAAAATATGGAAATAGAAAAAAGCGTCGGCTCGAATCAGAAAACAAGTGAGAAAACAACACGCCGTTAGTTCACACGGAGGATCGGCGGCCCCACTTTGACCACCGGGTTTCTACCTAAAACTAAACCCACCCTATAAATCTATCTCCCAAACCTATTCGTTAAAAGTTAAAACAAACCCACCACTTGAAGAAAAAATAAATTCGAACGTTACATATCGATCAATCGAAAATGATTACCGTTGCAATCCCAAATTCGCCTGTATTCTCACCATCGCCGAGAGTTTCTTCTTCTGTTTACTGTAAATCATCGCCGGAATCTTTGTCTTTGACCCATTCCCCATCTATTTCTTTCTCTTCTCCGTCGTTCAAGTGTCGTTATCAAAAGCCACTCCCGCCGGCATGTGGGCTTGTTAGGGATTCCAGTGAAGGCGGACCCACACAACCCACGTTTTGTTCTACTTCTCCTACGCTTTCAAAGAGGAAAAGACCCGCTAAATTAGCTATTCCGGTTGCCACTTTAAGTTTTTCCGATCGTGTTACGCCGCCGTTGGAGGCGGTGGAGGATGGGTGGGAGGAGGTGGAGGTTGACGGAGATGGGTATTCGGTTTATTGTAAGAAAGGGAAGCGAGACGCCATGGAAGATCGGTTCAAAGCTGTAGTTGAGTTAAATGGACAACATAAACAGGTAAATGTTTGTGGATTTTCTTCTGTAGTTTTTATTACTGTTCTTAAAGTAATTTACGAGGGTTTAATTTTTGAAATTCTTTTCCAGGCATTCTTTGGTGTTTTCGATGGCCATGGTGGATCAAAAGCTGCTGAATTTGCAGCAGAAAATCTTGATAAAAACATCTTAAACGAAGTAGAAAAAATGGGTGAAACCGAAATAATAGAAGCAATCAAACAAGGTTACATGAACACAGATTCGCAATTTCTAAAACAAGATCACCGCGGTGGATCTTGCTGCGTTACCGCCATTATCAGAGACAGCAACCTTGTGGTATCAAACGCCGGCGACTGCCGCGCAGTGCTGAGCAGCGGTGGATTTGCCACACCCCTCACCTCCGATCACCGACCCTCAAGACCAGACGAAAAGCTCAGAATTGAATCACTCGTAAGCATCTTCATCAGGAATTCAAATTAATCAAACAATGTTCTGCATCTGCTTATTGATTAACGATTACTTAATCTCTATCGATGATGTTGCAGGGTGGGTATGTTGATTGTGACCATGGTGCTCCAAGAGTTCTCGGATCACTAGCGGTTTCAAGAGGGATCGGGGATCGAAGCCTGAAACAATGGATAACGGCTGAACCCGAATCAGAAATCTTCAAAATTGTGCCTGAATTTGAGTTCTTGATCATGGCTTCTGATGGATTATGGGACAAAGTGAGCAATCAGGAAGCAGTTGATTTAGTTCGGCCTTTCTGTGTAAGTAATGATAAGTTAGAACGAGTATTGGCTTGCAAGAAACTGGTCGAACTTTCGGCGTCTCGAGGATCCATTGACGATGCGAGTGTGATGATAATTCACTTGGGCCGGTTTTGTTGATGACTTTTCTATGAAGATGATCAACGAAACTATAAATTAATTGATTAGCTTTTAGATCTCTTTTAACGAGATTCAGTTCATATTTAAATAACAGAATTCGTTCATTCTTTTTATAGCTTTGTTCTTATATAACTCGTTCGTGGCCTCGTGGGTTTTAATAAGGGAAAATGACTTCGTAGAGTAATCATGCCTCATATTCGTAGAGATGGCAACTAAGGCGCCAAAATATAGGGACCCAATCCCCATTTTCATCTTCAAATCCTGGTTTCAATCCTAGTCCACATCCCATTGGAGAGCATAAGGGTATCTGGATTAGCTTATTTACGATAAGAATAAACAATAAGCAATAAACAATAAGCAATAGGGGATAGAGGTACACAAAACCCGAATCCGATTTGATCCGGTTTCGCTTACGTCATAAAAAATCCGATCCGGTTCCAACCAAAATCCGAATCCGATTCTAATCCGATTTAAAACCGGTTTAAACCGATTTTAGTGGGTTTTAATCGGATTTTGGGGTGGATTTGGATCCGGTTTTTTGCAAATTCGGTTTACGATCCGTTATCAAATCCGATTTGGAATATAGGATTACGATCCGATTGAAAATTTGGTTTTAAATCCGATCCGGTTCGATCAAAACCGGTTTTGACCCAATCCTGATTCAGATTGAATATGGTTTTGAATAGTGAAACCGGTTTTTGTGTGAATCTCTAATGGGGGAGATTCTTATTAAAAAATGCTTATCTAGTTTATTTTTAATACAATAAGTTGATTTTTAAAGATTTTATTCAAACAGTTAAACTTGACTTATTGTTGTGAGAATAAGCAATAAACAATAAACACCTATTTTTTTTTCCTATCTAAACACCCTCTAAATGAATCTTCATCCCTACCCCCAACTGGGATCATAGATACCTAATAGGGAATAAATGATTTTTTCTTTTTAATAAGAAAACTTTTACGTAAAGAAAAAATCTAAATTTCTATTTTACTAAATAAGTTTAAATATTTTAAAAAAAATATATTCATAGTTACATAAAAACTATAAACAAAATTTCAACCACATTTAAATACATATATGAAAAATCAAATTGAAAACAATTATTAGAGTGATATTTGAGGTAAATAGATACACCACTGAGAAAAAAATTATACGCGAGGTTAAATTAAATAAAAGAAGAAGAAAAAATACAATTTCAACCAACTAACGACTAATGAGTTTGGTTACTTGGATAAACTTTTAGATAAACTTTTAGATGTTATAAATTATATTATAAATATATGTTTTGTATTATTTTTATATATTAATATACATATGTTGGAGTCGGGTCCAGAGTCGAGGTCTAGGATTATCCCAATCTCTATATCTTTGATTCGAGGATTCTGTATCCCCATCCCCACGCCGGTCAACTTGGGGATTTCCTGGTCAAAACGGGTGCGAGTTTTGGGTTCTCTATCCGGTATAGGGATTTTTGCCATCCCTACATATTCAAAAAATCATTACAATTTTGCCATTCATGCATTGTGGTGGATTTTGATGATTGTATCCATGAAAGTTAGATATCATTACATTTGTTGTTAGATAAATATATAAGGTCGGTACCACTATACGGATACGCATGCCAAAAAATTCTTTTGGCATTTGATGTTGAAACCGAAATTCAAGATGCTATTTGTACCCACATTTTGCATAAACAATTATCCCCCACTTATGGTTCAAACTACTATTGTTTGTTATCAACAAACAAGAGAGCCCCTGAACCACAATATTCATTCCACCCACTAATACAAGACTATAACTAAAATGAAATTAGATAGTCCTTCGAACAATTTAACTATATCCTAACACCTTTACCAGACAAGAACAGACGAAAGGGTAAAGCCAAAAATTCTGAGCCTCTATAATTCCTTTCCTACAAATACCACATGACCTGTAGAGATCTTACTCCAAAGATTCGTCCACCAAAACAACGACTCAGGCGATAAAGGATTTGCTAGAACCATAACAAATACCATGCACATAAGAATGAAAATAACAACATAGAAGTAACACACTCGAATACATACCAGAAATCTCCACGATTATCGCTCACTCTTCCTTGACAAGAAACAAAACAACTCCACTATAGGTCATCAAGTCCCTTGCCCTCCCCCATCCATCTATAAGGTAACTACAAAACCCTAGGTATTGGTCCATTAAACCAGAACAAGCAGCCCTAAAGTGGCCCGGTTGTTTCAGTTGGAAATAAACCTTCAACTTATATTCACATATTTGATGATGACTCTTATATCCACAAAAGAAACACTTATACCTACGACACTTGCCCTCGTGCGACAACCTACATATGACACTGAGACTGTAGCTCCCTTGTCCCTCCATACACGGGTCAACAACCTTAACTTTCACAGTTAGGGGTGGGAATCATTTCGGTTTTTTGGTTTTTCGGTTTCCTCGGTTTGAAAACTTTTTTTGTCCAATTCGAAAACCAAACCGAAAACCGAATTCTAATTCGGTTTGAAAACCGAGGAAACCAAATATTAACTTCAAATATTTTAAAACATAAATTAAAATGTTTTTAACATAGAAACCTAAAGTTGCAAACATAAAGATCTAAAGTTTCATACAGAATGATCCAAATAGTAAATGAATTAAAATGATTTTTACTTTATAGAGTAAATTACATGAATGGTCCCTATGGTTTAGAGTAATTTACGCGTTTGGTTCTTAACTTATTTTTTTTAACTCGAAAGATCCCTATTGTTTGCTTTTGTTACGTGCATGGTCCCCATCTTAGCTAAAAAGACTATTTTTGCCCTTGATTTTTTTTTCAATTTATTTAAATAAACACACCTCCAACCCCACCCCATCACCTTACCTTACATAACCCACTATTTTTTCCCTATTTAAATAATAGTTTTTTAGGTAAGACATAAACCAAACACGTAACAAAAACAAACAGTAGGGACCAAAATAACAAACAGTAGGGACCTTCCGAGTTAAAAAAAAAGTTAGAGACCAAACGAGAAAATTACCCCAAACCATAGGGATCATTCGTGTAATTTACTCTACTTTATAATTAATACTTTTACTTAATATAAAATATAAAATATATTTTTTAATTAATTGATTTATGAAATTTGATTTTTTCGGTTCGATTTGGTTCAAACTTCTTGAGACCGAAACTCGAACCAAAAACCAAATTCACAATTCGGTTTGGTCTTAACCCAAACAAAACCAAATTTCAATATGGTTCGGTGCGAAAATCGATTTCAGTTCGATTTGGTTTTCGGGCTTTTTGGTTTTGGACCAAATAATTTCCACCCCTACTCATGGGTCACGGTTGCTTCGAAAGGTGAATGCTTCTGCTCATATTTCATCCACCCTTATCAGGCCTTCATCCGTATAAATCGAGTCCAAGCCGCATCCTCTAACTCATTAGTCGCCTAGCACCCGACGGACAGTACAAACTCCCGATTCTCTTGCTCAATCTTCACCGAGGGTGTATACAACTCTCTAAATTGAGTCGTAAATTCTTCTCAATTCATGAATGACATGATCCCACAAATCTTTGGTTGAACTTTACAAGGGGTTCATGAAAAACCAACCTTTGCCTCCTCAGGGCAGAAACTGGTGCGAAAAACATTTACCATTCTTGAAACAGTTTATTCCCGATTGTGACATCCCTATTTTCACGACCAAAAAAGACCGATTTTTTTATGCTTTATTTTGAAAATCATAATAACCTTTTAAAGAAAAGTGTTGCAGAATTTGTTCTTAGAAAAACATGATAAGTACGTTATCAAATCATTTCCAAAGAAATGTATTTTATTCATTTAAAAACATTGTGATATCATCGTCAATACATAAACATAAACATAAACAGACCTTACATTTATTATCACTAGTGATTTATATATCCTTAATCTCTTAGTGTGATGTAACTTCATATTGATACCTGTGATACAAATAAGCTGAGTGGGTCAGGTTGGGAAACCTGATGAGCACATACAGTTTTCAACCCACAATAATACAATTATTATGTTTAAACATCAAACAATCAACCCAATTACCCATCCCCCATTATCTTCTTTAATCTTAAGGATCTACCCTAAGAATCAGCTATTTCTCGTTCGTTCATTCCTAAGGATTAGGCACGAAGTAATATCGCACCATGGTTTATACAACTTAAGGAATAGGAACGAAGTCACATCATCGCTAGGGTTTATACAACTTAAGGAATAGGCACGAAGTCACATCGTCGCCAGGGTTTATACAACTTAAGGAATAGGCACGAAGTCACATCATCGCCAGGGTTTATCCAATGGGTGCTAAGTCCATAGTTCATTTATCGACATTATTATTTTCGACAATCCACCTGAAGTACATGTCAATGGGTTTTTAGAGTACACCGGGTGAACACGTCGTTTACAACACCTACAGGTTGCGAGCCTGCTAGTGTTCCACTGGACTGTCTAGAATAGTCCGTGGTTGTCATCCATACTCTACTAGATGACGGGGCCAACTTTTGGGTAAAGGCTTTTCTCACTTTTCACCTCTCACCCTCATCACATGATCTACATCTCCTTTCATCTCACCTTCCAACTCATTTTTCATCACACAACAACTATTTTATCAGCTATTTTATCTACCTATATTTTACCCTAACATAAAACAATTTAAATCATTTAAAACGTATATAAAATCGATCATCCAACCTAGAAAACAAGTATTCAGATAATATGCACAAATAGCACATAATTATATATATATATATATATATATATATATATATATATATATATTACTTCATATCTATGTGTAAGATGAAAGTAATATGCACTCACATTTGTAGCGTGCTTTGATAGAATCTAACTAGAAACGATCAGAAGCTCGTTGTTGTCAAGATCGGGAAGGGAAACGGCCTTTGGAAACGAAAGAGAGGAAAGAAGGTTTGGTGTAAGCAATGAAAGGGCTGAACTTGCTATTTATAGGTTCATCTGGGCCCATTCACGTGGTGAACATGATAGGTTCACGTCGTGAACTTTCATGAGTCATACCATAGCTTTAGCACATGTTTTCTAGCCCCGATTAGTGTCCCTGACATGTTTTTATTGTGAACTTCATGTTCATGTCGTGACTTAAGGCGGCTAGGGTTTTTGCCAC